TTGTCTTGCTTTATATTTGTCAACAGTTCCATCGACTTTCATTTTACTTTTGAGGATTCACTTTGAACCCAAAAGTTTATTTCCTGAGGGAAGATCAACCAACTTCCAATATGATTGCTCAAGATTGAACCAATCTCACTATTAACACCATCTGTCCAAAAGGATGAGTCTACAGAAGACACAAGAAATGTTACAAAATCATATTTGAAGAAAGTAGATGTCCTTTGACATTTACTACACCTCAGAATCTCTTTATTAAGTACATTATCCTTTTGTTCTTTCCAAGATCGTTTAGACCTTTCACTAGACTACTCAAGTCTAATATTACAGTCCACTGTCTTAGGTCTTATTTTAATCCTTTTAGGAATAGGAACTTGGACTTTGGCTAGACACCTCCACACTTTGAAAAATTTCAAGTTGGATTTCCTTCATTTCCATTTCTCATATGGAATAGATTGTGTCCTGGAAAAACAAAACTTTTTATTGCTTTCTTTATGAAAAGACAACTTTTTGTTGTTCCCTTTTGCAGTAAGGATAGTTCCTCCACACAAGTTTTGTGGTAAACCAGAACTTATAAGTAATGCATTGATCATTTCCTTCAAAGTTCAGTTTTTCTTTTTCATTAGATTGAGGTGAATAGGGCAGCAGTTTGATGGATAATTCCACTTTTCAAACATATTTCTGCAAAATGAGATTTAAACTCTCCATCCATGTCACTTCTTATCTTTTTCCCAACTGATTTTCAACTTTAATATTATATTGTCTAGACGTTTCTATTGCTTCATCCTTACCATTCAACAAATAGACAGTCGTTTCTAATGCTATTGTCAATGAAAGTTACGAAATACTTTTTTCCACCACGAGATGGTGTTGACTTCATATCACAAATGTCAATGTAAATCAATTCTAAGGGATTAGAATTCCTTTCAACAAATTTACAATTTTTATTTATTGCACTCAAAGTTAGACAAAACTTCTAAGTTGATCAGTTTTCCTTACAAGGTATTGTAATTTACATGTCCCAAGTGTTCATGTCACAAACAGTTTGACTCAAGCAAGTAAGAACAAATTAAAATATTGAGTTTGAAAAGCTCTCCGCGAGGTAGCTTTTTCTCACAGATATTTGTTCCTATTTCTTACAATTTTGTATGACACAAACAATGTTTAGAGTCATCACCTTGTCAAATGTCCTTTTCAGTAGGACCTTTCCATAACTTTCAATTTGATTGTTATAGAACTACCCATGAACAAAGTTTCATCAGGTCCAATAAAGGCAATATAGTCCAAATGTTTCTTTTACAAAACATAACGAATAACTATTCACCAATATTCATGTCTATGCAAATACTTTTATTATAATAGACATATCTTTTCATGAAAAATCACAACATTTTAAGTGACACTTTTTCATAAAAGAACACAATTATTTTGAACAAGTATATATATAATTTGGTAGTTTCATACTAGTCACATCATATACTAGTAATAGAGAAACTCAACAACCACAATACCGAATATACTCCAAGAATTTTGTGGGTCTAACATAATACAAAAGTATCATTGAATTTCATATCTTTTGCTCCAAAATTAAATTAGACACCAAGTCTAATTTTATCTTTATCATAAGCAAAGAACCCCCACATTTTAAATGTAACCTCAAAAATATTTTTCAAGTATTTGAAAATAGTTTTTCCACATATTTTCCCAAACTATCAAAATGTCATTGGCAGTATGAAACCTCTTTTGGAAATATTATTCTACAAAATAATTATATTGCTTCAATTCTCTTTGACAATCTTTACATAGTGTCAAAGTTCATTCCATAGAGGCACAAAATCACAAACTCTAAGTCACTGGTATTTTTTCCTCTATCACAAATAGACATACCACTTCGTATTTAGAATACTAACAATAAAGACAAATTTTTTTGTACAATTTGTTTCTATATAACAGTGAAGTTTATAGAAAGTCAAAAGTACAACATTGACTTATTATGTGAAGTTTTCATATTTTTCAAAACAATTGCATAGTCTGATTTATCCAGAGTAGAAACTACAAAAAATTTTAGTCTACAAAAATCAGACACAATCAAATTTCACATGGAGTACAAAACTACAAAAGTTTTTTTCGTCTCCAAGCAGAATTAAACATATTCTTTATCACATAGAAATGTTTTTATTTTCAATAGCCTTCCAACTATAACATTTTGACATACTATTTCATCAAATAAAAATATGCATCTCTCATTTTGCAAACTAAAGAATTTTAAAGACAACACTATTTGCCAAGCAAAATTCATTCCACAATATATGATTTGCAGATCTTTTTCCAAAGATACACATTATAAAAAATCAAAGTTGTTAACTCTTAAAAACTATTTTCCTCCTTAGACAAAATAATAAGAAGATTACCTGGTGTAATCTTTAACCGGAATACCACCACTTTTTCTGTACATTCTCACTTCGACCTTGCTAAACAAAGCACCGAATTCTGGAGAAGTAATGCATTAATCTTCTACTTCCATGATTTGTTTCTCACAATCAGTAGAATACAAGAAATACCAACAGTATAATAATTTCCTTAAGATTGTTGTTCATCTTGTATTCCTAAGATACTTAAAACAAAACTTTGAATAACTTGGTAAGACACAATAAAGTTTAAGAACATTTTCACAGCTAGAAACTTAAAACTAGTAGAGAAACTAGAATCAGAAACATATTAGAAAAAATATACGAAATATTTTTTCTTAAAGAAGAATTGTTGTCAATCTGTGTTTAAAGAATCTTACTGATTCCAACAAACTTTGCAGAAACACGAAATTACCAAAGTTTAATGAACCAGTGAAGAACAGAAGAACATCAATTAATTCACAAATCTAAAATCTGTAACACAACCAAAATCTGGAAAAACAGAATGAAGATCAAGCCCACTGAATGCACAGTGTCCCCTTAAGGAAATTATTCCCCTCTAGTATCCGAGGTTTGATTTGTAATATGTCCTCCCAGGATAGAATGATCTCAATCACCAGTGTATTGATACCCAAAATGCTGGTGTCAGCGAGCCACTCAACGGCAATAAAGTACACTTAGAATACTAGATTTAGTAGTAGAAGAAGAAGTCCAGAAATTGGTTCTTTTAAAATAAGAGGAAATCCTTCAATTTATAGAAAACAGAGGGTAGTGTGAAAAGGTTCTTATTGTGCCTTACCGGAAAGGTCACAAACCTTTGAAAAGTCACAATCTTTCGGAAAGGTCACCACCTTTCATAAAAGTCACAACTTTTCATAAAAGTCACAACTTTTCATCAAAGTCGCAACTTTTGATAAAAGTCGCAACTCTTCATAATAGTCGCAACTTTTCATCAAAGTCACAACTCTTACTAAAAGTCGCAACTCTTCATTTTCCATTCACACCTTTTAAAACCCAACATTCTTATCATTTATGTTCATTTGATTCATCACATTTTAAAGTATAAAAATATCTAGAGAGTTTTTGCTAAAGTTCGATGGAAGTAAATAGAGGTAAACAAAATCCTATTGAAAGCGCAAGCCGAGTCAAATTGAGAAAAAACACCCAATTAGTGATTTGTTTTGACTTGATTTAGTATTTTAAAAAAAATCGACTATATTTGAGTTGATTTGGTTTTAACTTTAAAAAGTCAATTCGAGACCAAACGACATCATATATATAATTTTTAAAATTTATTTTATACATAAAAATATTTTATTTTATTTTATTTACAAATATTTCTTGTACATTTTCGTAGTTTTTATCTTTTAACTTATAATTTCAAGTTTGACTTGAATTTTTGAATGATCCAATAAAGATTATATTCCATAAGTTTTAGCAACTCTAATAAAGCTCAAAACAATTAAATCAATATTAATGCTAACATAAACAAATCAATTTAATACTAAGAATGACAATGATGCTGAATATTTTTTCTTTCATATAGACAATTAAAATATACGTATAACCTAATTTTAGTTTTTTTTATTGTTTAGTCATGTAATTAATACTCATTAGACTTATTTTAGCATGATTCAATATTTTAATTTATGATCATATTTTCAGTATGACTTATTTATTTACAATATCTGTTTTATGAGAAATCATTATTACTTTTTGTTGAATATTTTAGTACCGTCACTTTTTTTTACCAAAGTACCCTCACTTATATCATCTTTTGTGTTATTTTTTTTAAAAAAAACATCTTAGATAATTATATCTTGGTAAGATTAAAAAAATCATTGAAGTACAATTTAATTATATGTTTGTATGAATACTTCATCAAAAAACCCAAAATTGAAAAATTCAAATTTAATTAGTTTGATTTGATTTATTATTAATAATCCGACATGAATGATTTGATTTGACATTTGAAAAAACCTCAACAAATTCAATCTCTTATACACCCCTAAAAATATGTATGATATCATGTTCTACCTTTTTAACTTTTATATGACATTCTTTATAAAATATAAAAAATTAACTGACTTGTAACAATTGCTAAGAGAAATTGAGATACTGAGATGATTTCAAAAAGGTTAATTTTAATCATATAATTTTTTTTTTATTTACATTTTAAAAATAAGTCATTGAAGCGTAGCAATGAAATGGAAATTTACGGCCAACATGGTTTATGGTGCACTGATGAGAGTGTTTCACCCTTAACCAGAGGTCTCGGGTTTGAGCCCTGGATATGGAGAAAATCCATGTTGGAAGCGCCACCCCCAAATGGGTCCTGCAAAGCGCGATCCGAATTTAATCGGAACTCTAATGTGGACTCCGAACACCGAAGAAGCACTTTAATAAATATATTTGATTTTGATCGATTCAATTAAAATATTAGTGTTTGTTCTATTATACAACAAAGATCACATTTTTTGAATGAAGGAAAACCAAAAAAATAAAAATGGAAATCTACCACATCCCACAAAAATTACATTCCATTTTTTAAACATTTGTGCGTGTGGGGCTTTGGAAAATGTCTAAGTGCCCTTTCGAAAAAACCCAAACCATTTTCAATTGAGGTGGAATTTTTCTTCCTTATCCCGGAATATGGCGGATGTACTCAGAAATGGAGATGCTGAGGATGTTGCTGTAAAGCTTGGAGCTTTTGAACAACAAGCTCTCATTCATGACTTCTCAACTTCTGCTTCTGCTCGATTCAACGCCACTCTCAATAGCCTGGTTGGTTGGTTCGTTAATTTTTCACCATTCATTTTAAACCTCTTGTACTGTTTCTTGATTTCTTTTGTGCTTACATGTTAATTAGTTTTTGAAAAGAAAAATGGAAGAGAGGAGGGAAAGATTTGACCTTTACCGTAGGAGGTGAATTCTTGCATTTTTACTATGTTCTTTGCCAACCCCCCCTGAATTTTCATTCTGTAATTGAAGTCCTACCTTGTGTTTGACCATAGATTTTGCAAGTTTATCTGCTTGGCCATGAAATTTTATCAGATTTTGAAAATCTAATTTTCATATTTTTTCCAACTAAATGGCATGAAATCGTGAAGCTTTTTAAATTAGCATCTGTCAGCACCCTAAGGTAGTGGCGGAGCTAGTATTTTTATAAGGGGTTCAAAATCTGAAGAATTAAACACACGAGCTAATCGATGAGGGTTCGACATCTAATATAGTATAAATAGTAGTAATATTTTCTGCCGAAGGGGTTCAGATGTGCTGTAGACACACCTGTCAGCTTCGTTGAACTTGTTCCTTTGACACGTTCCAATCATCAGATTTCTACAGGATGAACCCCCTAATAGAAGGCTGGCTCCGCCCCTGCCCTAAGGAGCGGAGTAGACTGCAACTGGTTTACCAGTTTTGGTGTTAGGTTGGTTTTTGGTCCTAAAAAGCTCACAGATTTTTTGTGCTACTGTTAAGATGGTAATGGGCCCTACGCGGTGCGAATCTGGATTATTGGGCTCTAATCAGCGGCACACTCTTTGTTGAAAAACTATATTGTGCATATAGAAAATAATATTGTGTATATAGGTTAAAACAACTTTTTAGAGATATATACTAAAGTTTTGAACACCATTAGCAAAACTACCAGCTTCACCAGCTCCAATGCAGGTACCCTGGATGGGAAACCAAAAAATAAATAAATTCTGGAACTCTAATGTTTAATGAAAGAATCCTTTCCATAATGATCTGATTTTTTCTGTAAGGATGTTGTGTAACTCATCCAGAGACTTTTACTTCTCAAAATAAAGAGTCCCTAATCCAGAGACTTCCAAATTCAACTCTATCATTTGAATCATCATGCTTTTAGCATTGCACTATAAATTAAGGATACATTTCCTCAGATAGATCAGATTGGTGCAGTGAACCTGTTTGCTTGACCTGATAATTTGAATTCTTTATGGTCATTACTTTATCTTAATTTTTCCGCAAGAACGTAACTGGTTATATCCATATCTCAAGTTTCTGCTTAAAATTTTGGCATTGGAAAAAATCATGTAAAGATATCTAAATTCTTAATTACCTCAAAATGCAGAGTAAGTGGCTGGTGGCTGCAGTTTTTGGTATAATCTTCCTTTGGAGGCATGACACAGAAGCACTTTGGGCAGGTTCTGGTTCTATTCTGAATGCTGGACTCTCAACTGTATTGAAGAGAATACTAAACCAGGAGCGACCTGTTTCTGCGATAAGATCAGACCCGGGAATGCCATCTACTCATGCACAGTCAATTTTCTATACAGTGATGTTCTGTATTGTCTCAAGTAATATTCTCAGTCAATCAGATTAAGAAAACATGCTTGGTTTAGATAATTATCCATCCTTGTGCATTTGCTTAAGAGTAAATTTTCATTAACCAAACTGGCCTTATCCTTTTGATATCGAAAGAGGCCTGCATGCATTGCAGATAAACTTACAAATCAGGTTCATGAGGATTTTTGTTGTTACCTTGTCCCTCTTTTTTGTTGTAATTTTTCCATTAGCTTGTTATACTTATGCTTTCTATCTTTAGTCTCTTTCTTCTCTTACTATATGTTCCCTTTCTTCAATTGCTGCGAGTTTTTTCACCGGACTATTGCTTATTCTCTTCAAGATTTAGAACTTCCTACAAGGTTTTAAGCAATCAATTAGATGATCTGTACAACTTCTCTCCTCTGACTATGGATATACTAGGATGTGAATGGCTTCTAGAGAGGCACTCATGCACCGCTATATATTGTCATACCAAGGTTTTAGGGCAATGTCTAGGTGTATCTGAGAGCTGTTCAACCATCATGGACCTCTAGAAAAAATCTCTTGTAAATTTGATATTTTTCTTGCAATACCTACCAGTACTCAAGTCCAAAGAGCTAAGCTACAACAAAGTTCTGTTCAAATTCTTCTGTATCTGTTATCACTTATCAATCTATGTACATGCTTAAGGTTTTGTAGTAATAAACTACTTTTGTAAAGAGTGTAGGAAATGCACTAGCCAAAGAAAGTCATTTCGGCAGCTGTCCTGAATGCTTGATATGGATAGAAAATATATGACAAAGAACAGTTTGGGTTAGTGATTATGTGAGTAAAGTGCTAACATTTCTGGGTTGTCCGTACATTTTAACCCAGCAGATTCTAATCCCTACTCAGGCCTAGAGAAGTGAGACTGCATATGCACTCTCGCTTTGCCTTATGTGATAGCTGTATGTGATTGTATTGCACATACCTAAACTTTGTGATCTCTTAATGACATTGAAAATGGCGCTTTAGCACGTCTATTGTGCCTGTACAAGTAGCTCTCAAATTAATGTTGTCATGATGTCCTATGGTAACTTGTGTGCTTGAATAACCTGTCTGCTACTAATACGCATCTGCACAAGTGCTCTGGTGGGTATTGGTTAAGATTCAATTGATTATGCCTCAAATTTACCTTATAGCCATGTGATTTTTATTTGATGAATAAGATAACTAGAAAAGACAGGGAGTTTGCACGTTGTTTGACATTTCAATTTTCCTTTTCTCGCTTCTTGAATTTTCATGTGCAGCTATGCCATTAAAGACTCTTCATACCAACGTCTAATATCATCTTTTTCTTTTTGTTTTGACACAGTGGTAGAATATTTCGGGTTAAATGGAATCACTGCAGTCATTAGTGCACTTATCTTTGCAATTGGCTCCTACTTGGTAAGTAGACAGCTTGCAGAATAGCAGTTTGGTTTATTTCCCACCCCCACCCTCTAGGAGGATCAGTAGTGTTCCCACTTACTATCTAGTGTGACTCAAACCCTCAACCTACCGGTTGATGAGGGAGGCGCTCAACCCCTTGGGCAAGCTTCGCTTGTCAGCATTATGGTTTCTACCTTTATTTCAACTGGTTTTCTTCACAAGACCTTAGTTTAGTTGTGACTATTGTAACCATACATTGATCTGCTTTTTCGTTGTGTTTGTGCAGTCATGGCTACGGGTTTCACAACAACTCCACACGACCAGTCAAGTAGCCGTAGGTGCTGCACTGGGATTCTCTTTCTCCGTTTTCTGGTTTTGGTTGTGGGATGCAATAGTCCTTGATGCATTTATATCCCACTTGTGGATTCGGATTCTTGTTGTTCTTGGCACGGTAGCCATTTGCGTTAGCTTTCTCCTTTATATGTTCCGATACTGGGTTCTTGAGAGAAACTGATTCTTTATATAGTGAGAAAGTACACACTCATGATTCTGGAAGTGTTTGATAACAATTCTAGAAGTGGTTATTGGCAGGAAATTACACCCAATGACCTTGGAAATGATTGGTTTTGAACTTTTGACCTCGCTTGTCCATGGGTAAACTGCCAAAAGTTAAGCCCATGGACAAACACCGTCAAAAGTTCAACATCACTTGTGTGCATTGCTCTGCAAAGTCGGCATATCTATTTTCTTTTTTCATATTTGCTTTTGATATTTTTGGGTTGCGGATTGACTCAAGAACGCCACATATCATCGTCATAAAAGAATGCACTAGATTGAGCCGGACATATGTTAACAGGGCCTAAGATATTAAAAATAAGAAATAAAAGTAATCTTGAGTGGATCATATTATGAAATTGTAGAAAATATAGTTTCTATTTTCATTAATGACTATAGAGTAGATTAACTTATACAATATCTACCCATATCGATTAAAGTTAATTTTTTTTATATAGGACGATAATCCAACTAGATTTCTACTTCAGACAAAAAGAATCTGAATTCGGCAATCAGTTTGATAGTTGCATAATTGATCGTCTTTTATCAATAACAAGTGCCTATATTGTGATTTGTGCTATGCACCAAATCTAAAATCGTACCATTACCATCGTGTTACTATCATCAATAAGATTGTGGTGAGATAAATAAGATTCTCTCACTCTTACCTAAAGATTTCGAATTCATAATATAAAATTAAAATTAGTGGATACTAAGATATGAACAAAAATATAAATCCACCACATCTAACAAAAATGGTTTCCATATTTTTGAGGAACTAACGATTGCCACTTGTTATTAGTTATTATTGAGTTCAAACAACTATTTAGTAACCTTGAAAATTCTCAAAATCTTCTAGACTCTGAGAGTCGTCGTCCTGTTACATTTCTGCCTGTGGGGCTTTTGTTTTCAATTAGAGAAAAATTCCAACAATGTCTACTGCAACTGCCCTTGTTATTTCCCCCTTTCTTCGTTTTCCAAAATTTTCCAATTCTAAATTGGATTTCCGTCGGAAGTTCGCTTCTTTTTCTCTGTATACAAGACACAAATCATCTCCATTAACTATTGCTAGAACTCGAACCACCGCAGAAGATGAGGCGATGGGTGTCAGTTTTGAAAAAGAAGAAGTTTTCGTTGATGGGTCCTCGAGTTCTGCTTCCGCTGGACTTAACGCCACTCTCAATAGCTTGGTTCGTTCAACTTCTTTGTACAGTTTCTTTATTTGTTTTGTGCTTACATGTTAATGCACATCCTCCCTGCTTAATAAATAAGTGAACGACAAGACCCGAAGGTGGTCCAGTGGTTTGGATTTGAAACTTCCATGTTAGAGGTGTTAAGTTCGAAACCCTTGCTTAGTGCGGGTTATCTCGCCTATGTGGTTTGCAAGCTATTGCATAGGAGCATGGTTTACCCTACGTGCAGCTAAAGGGTAAAAATAATAAGTGAACGACAAGAGGGACATTTTTGGTTCTTAGCTTGGTTTTTAATTTTATGACTTTGGTATTCGTGTAACTTTGTCCACCAAGGCTGAGATAATTGAGAAGAATCACTTAGTGTTTTTGTTTGAACCTGAAACCTCATGATTCCCAACCATTTCATTCACCACTAGGTCATACCCTTGATTGTGGTTCTTTGCTAGAAGAAGGACTCCTAAATTTTCATTCCTTGTTTTGGTGTCAGACTTATATAAGCACCCTTACCCCATCTCCATGAAGTTTTACAAATCCTTTGAAGCTCATAATTTTTGAATTGAATGTTTCTAATACAAGGCTAATTAATTTGCTAAAGGATGCTGTTGATTAGACTTATAAAAGAGTTGAAGTGTTACGTAAGTAAATTGTCAACTTATTTGGCCTTTTCTGCTTATCACCGAAGTTCAAGATGAAATTGCTAGTAGTAGGCTACGGCAATGCTAAGATTTGAGGCTATAATGAGCACATACCGCATATATACAGAAAAGTATTATGAAGCATACTTGCTATGTGTTTCACTTTTACTATCCTGGAGTTCTTCAATTCAAAAGACCTTTTAGTCTTAAGCATGTTAACTTGGTGTTGTCCTGTACCATCCTGGCGTCTATAATTTTAGAAGACCTTTCAAATTAACCTGATAGTCCTACATTTGCAGCCGTACTGTTGTTCATTTTATTGCTAACCCTTGATTCTTAAGATGAGCTAGGTATTAAGTTCCAGTTTTCCAGAACAAGTGAAATTGACAATTTTGGAATGTATTGATTGTTGCAAATAACAGGATATTAAGAATCTTTAATTTGCTTCTGTCTTCATCCTTGGAAGTAAACTGCAGCTGGTTTACCAGTTTTAGTGTTAGGTTGGCTTTTGGTCTTAGAAGCTCACCTTTCTTATGCTAATGTTAATCTGGTAATTTTCAGGTCACCTTCGGTGCCATCTATATTCTCTTACCCTTTATTTTTGTTAAATGAGAGAATACCTTCCATAAAGATCTCAGTTTTTCTTTCAATGATGTAATGCAACTTACCTGGAGACTCCCAAATTTACTGTCGTTTGAATATCATGCGTTTTGACATCACACTATAAATTAGGATACATTTCATCACCATGATCAGATTGTTGCTACTGACCTGCTTACTTGACTGGAAAATTTTGGATTGCGTTTTGGTGACTTTACTTGATCTAATTTCTTTGCAAGAATGGTACTGGTTGTATCCATCTCTCAAATTTCTGCTCAAAGTTTTGGCTTTGGAGAAAAATGTTGTAAAGATTTCTAATTTCTTAGAAACTAAAGTGCAGAGTAAGTGGCTGGTGGCTGCACTTTTTGGTATAATCTTCCTTTGGAGACATGATGCGGAAGCTCTTTGGGCTGCTTCTGGTTCTGTTCTGAATTCTGGGCTCTCAACTGTATTGAAGAGAATTCTAAACCAAGAGCGACCTGTTTCTACGATAAGATCGGATCCTGGAATGCCATCTTCTCATGCGCAGTCAATCTTTTACACAGTGACGTTCTGTATTGTCTCAAGTAATTTTCTTAGCTAATAATTGCGCAGATGGATAAAATATAATTGATTTAGATACTCTTCATCCTTTAAACTCTAAATCTGTCAATATGCATTTTACGTAAGAAGAGTTGAATACTTCAAGAAGTGAAATGGCCTTGTCCCTTCGATTATGATCTAAAGAGGCCATCCTGCAGTGAAGATAATACTATAAAATGGGTTCATTTGGATTTTTGATGTTACCTTGTCAATTCTTTTTAGATAAATTTGTTATCACCTTGTTCTGCATAATCTTTCCATCTTTGGTCTCCTAGGATGTGTTCCTTTTTCTTCCTTGGGTTTGCTGGGCTCTTTTTCTGCTCTCTATCTGTATTCTCTATCAGAACTTCCTATGAGACTTTAAGCAATCAATTAAGTTATTAACCCTGCATATTCTAATTCCTAACTTGGTATAAAGAGGTGGTATGTGTTGCTGAATTTGCACTCTTTCTTCCGTTTGTGTGATAGTTGTAATGTGATTGTGTTGCATATACTTAAACTTTAGGAGATAGTGTTGTGCTTGTACGAGCAGCTCTTCTAATTAAAGTTATTGTTATGTCATATGATAACTTGTGTCCTTGAATAATCTGTCTGCTACAAGCGTCTGTCTTCACAAATGCTCTGACTGGCAAAGATTCATATTGAATTGATTTTGCCTCAGATACACCTTCGAACAATATTGTTTTTCATTTGATGAATAGGATTACTAGAAAGGACACAGGTGGCGCTCTTCAAGTTTCCTTTTTCTTGTTTCTTGAGTTTCTGTGTGCAGCTATGCTATTTAAAACTCCCCATAGTCCATAGTACACTCCATACACAACCTCTGATACATCTTTTCTTTTTGTTTGATTCAGTGGTAGAATATTTTGGGTTAAACGGAATCACTGCAGTAATTAGCGCACTCATCTTTGCAATTGGCTCCTACTTTGTAAGTCTACAACTGGACCTTCATTTAGTTGGTTTTTGTCTGTTACTTTCATATGCTTGCAGAGCAGCAGTTCGGCTTTCACCTTCTTTCAATCGATTATCTGCACAAAACCTTGGTTTGTTTCAACTGTTGTAGCCATAAATTGACCTGCTCTTTCCTTGTGTTTGTGCAGTCTTGGCTACGGGTTTCACAACAATTTCACACAACCAGCCAAGTAGCCGTGGGTGCTGCACTGGGATTCTCTTTCTCCATTTTCTGGTTTTGGTTGTGGGATGCGATAGTCCTTGATGCATTTATTTCACACTTGTGGGTTCGGATTGTTGTTGTTCTTGGCACAGCAGCCATTTGTGCTAGCTTTCTCCTATATGTGATCCGATATTGGGTTCTTGAGGAGATCAACTTATACTACTGAGAAACTACACACTAACATTGAACTTTCATATAGAAACTAACAAAACAAATTAAAGCTTATAGTTTTATGAGAAAATTCTTCTCAACTTTGCTCATTACTTTTCATTAGCTAATGTGGAACTCAAAATGGTTATAAATCAACAACAGTTACCCAGCTCTACAGTTCGATTTGAATAGGAATTTTGTTGTCTTTATAGTCTCTACTATAACTGCTGCTCCTATTAGTTATAACTGCTTATATTATTATATGTAGTTTTATAATCCATTTTAACTCAATCCGTCCAAATCTGCCCATTTCCCATCACTAAATACAACTTAATATGAAACTATAGCTTCATAAATGTAATTAGAACATCAAATTAATAGTAGTTTTCAAGAAACAACATGAGTATTGTTTTATACTTTTAGTTATTATCCCACCAAAACTGTTTTTGAAGATGATCAATCACTTTCTTGTCAATTTGGAATGCTTTAGTGAGGACATCATCATTAATTGGTGGATCTGACTTCTGAGCCAAATACTGTATTTGAAATTGTGAGAACTCCTGGATTTTGGTTGTTCAGACCAGCAACTACGAAAACCACAACACAAGCACTCCTTTTCCATTCATTCTATCTAAGAAAAAGAATTTAGCATAGACCACGACCCCCCCATCTTTTCATTTCTTTATCTATATGAAACCAAATGGGCGAGTTTTTATACTCGTGTTATAGCTGCTAAAAAGCTATTTCGCATCTTTTAGAATGACACAGCGAGTCCAGACTAGCCTTCTGGACTGAACCCCCCATTCACTTGAGTAGGCCTAGATAATTTCATGTGTGAAGCATAGTGAGAGTGACACAGATCTCCTTTTTTCAAATAGGGAAAGCAAATCCTAATCATTAGGTAAGACGGGGTGGACGAAGACCGAGACTTCTCTAAGATCCGATTCGATGGTATATCCCTCTTCTATTGTTCTTAGACGGATCTCTCACTCTTGATGAAGAAAAAGACTTCAGCTTTAAAGATCCGATCTTGTCTTCACTCACCGATTCCTTTAATAAGAGGAATGCCGGTGTTGTTGGAATAAGCGCTGCTATTGAAGACGGTCTTAGAGAAGGAGCTGCTAAAGCAACTGCCAAATAACTTTCCTGTTGATGCTACAACACCGCTCTTGCCGCGAAAAAAGCGTCTTAGCTTGCTTTTCTTTCAGAGTGAGAAGGAACTTTCTCTCTCCTATGCCCTCATCACTAACCATTCCCCTTATCTTTGCATTTCTTGATCGGTCGCTCAAGAGACTGACGTTCGGGCTCAAGTTCGAATTAACTGAATATTAATCATAGAGGAATGGGGGTAGAATAGAAAATGGGGGTCTAGGGCAAGAGTATTATACAAGATACTTAAATGATTACTTCAATTTGAAATATACTTCACCCCGTGCATCCTTTGGTTGTGAGCCCCGCCTAGAGGGAGGCGCTAAGGGAAGGGCGTATTTGTGGTACCCCTAAGAGACCTTTTTCCTTTCCTGCTGCATCTCGGGTGAACAAATAGGCGTGGGGAAGAGTGAGAGGGGGGGGGGGGCTACGAGCCCTCTCTTGTTGTTGTTCCCGGACCACCCATCCCTTCCTTCCCCTTCGCCCGGCCCGGTGAGATCAGATTTATAGAACGAAGTGAAGTGATAGGAAGAGAAGACTGCTGGCGGGTGGAAATAGAAAACAACTAAATGACTTAGTCTTGCCTTCTTCTTCCTTTATGGATGGAGAGAGGCCCCTTTAGCTTCAGGGGGAAATTCCTATGTCTTTCTTTCATCCTCTCTGTCTATGGCCTATGCCAATTGGTCTTATTCGGATGAGTTGCATTTCGTTTTCCTTTTGTTAGTTTATCAGTCAGGGCCAAATCGCCCCCCCTATCAAGCAAGAAGGAAACGGCTCTTCCCACGGCGGAGTCACCATTGACTCTATTTATTATTATGGTAGCCTAGTGCTACTCCTCCACAGAAGACTTGCTACGAATGCAATTGCATTAGTCTTTGGGCCAGGGTTAGAAAGGATGAAACAAAGATAAAGTCTTCCTTTAAGAACAACAAGAACCTTTGTTCCTTTCCTCTAGGATGTGTATGAGGTGGATTGAGACCACGTCAAGCAAAATCAATTATGGATGAAATTTCTAGAATGAATCCTCAAATTAAACCCATTAAAATAAACAAGGAATTAATTAAGCTAGCTTAGCTTCTTAATTAATTACCAAGTCTTTCATGATTAGTTTATAATAAACCAAAATCATGATCAACTTTTCTTCAACAACTATAGAGACTGATTAATCTCCCCGGGTCATTGGAAATGGTCAATATTAATTAGCTATAAGAAAAATACCAAATAAAAACGGAGTAACAATAAGTTAAAATTGGAAAATTAGATAAGGTAAAACTTTCAATAGTACTTTACATATATGCTTTGAGATGTGAGATGTATATGATCAAAGTATAATACATGGAAGGGTTATATTTTTTTACCAATTCAAACTTCCCTTTATTTATCCAATTTCTTCTTCTATGACCGGTGTTTGATATCCGTATTAGAATTTCGATTAAATCTGAATGATTTTCTCCTAGACCTCTGATTAAGGATATGACAGTCTTACCACTGTACCATAACCTAGTGGATCAATTTCTTATTATTATACTATTAATTGTATTGTGTGTTAATGGGCTCTTGATTGATAAACACATGTGCGACAAAAGAATAGCATTGCTACACAACTCCTCGTACCATCAATTTAACAAATTTTATTTTAAGAATTCAAATAATTTACACTGAATTTTAACTAATTAGTGGTGGCTCTCAAGTCCTTTGTACTGGGAAACATACATAAATAATCTCACTAGTTTATGAGCTAATTATTTAAATATATTTTAGTCTGCAATATTATGTATCTTATCAAATTTTGGAGTGTTCAGATACATGTATCTCGGGATACTTGGGGTCAAAATTAGGTATAATTTATTCTAGATACATTATATCCAAGTGGATTCGCATGTATATGAGATACATAACAAATCTCGCTTGCCTCCCTCACTTCTCTCTAATCTCGCTTGCGAATCACATGTATCTGGTGTGTATCTAGTGTGATTCATGTATCTGGGATACATAACAAATCTCTCTCACATCCCTTCCCATTTCGCTCTCCTCTCTCCTATTTTAGTGTATCTAGTACAAAGTACATGTATCTGAGTGTATCTTTCTCAATATATGGTAGGAAACTCTTAATTGATAGTACGTAATATTTTGAAAGTACGTGTAATAATAATAATATATATGGTAGCGAAGTATTTATAATTATATAGTTCTCCTTTGTATTAACCAATAACCATTGCCATATCATGCCATGCATTAATTATCTGCTTATTATTTTCATGGTTAAAGTTTCTATCATCATATTCTACTTCTTTTTTCTTCCACATCCAATATTATAATCATAACCATTTCCAATAGTAAGTCCTCCACAAATATGATTTAGTCTGTAATAATTATATGTAGTTGTTATAAACTGTTTCTTATATCTTCTCATAAAATTATAAGATTAATTTAGTGCTTATAGTTGTTGACCCACCTTCACAACTCATGAAATCTTCAAAATTTTACTACTACCATATATGACTTGGTAATTGTGCAGAACTAATTCACACTTTGTTTAATTAGGGAAACTTTTAAGACTAATTCAAATAATATTTTATCTATAAATAGGGATACCTCTCTTATCAAATTATAAATCACATACAAACAGAGAGAACAATAATAAATCAATTTTTTTAGAGTTAATTTCTATTTAGTGATGGCTCTTAAGTCCTTTGTATTAATCATTGCCATATTGGCTGTGGTGACTTCAATAAGCCATGCATCTGATCCTAGTCCTTTACAAGATTTTTGTGTTGCTGTTAATGACACTATGACTACTGGTAAATTATCAAGCTACTTCAACTTATTTCAATAATAATTGTAACACAACTAGTTTTGTAATGTTCTTATTATAATTCCTTATATATATGATGCAGTTTTTGTGAATGGAAAAGTATGCAAAGATCCAAAAGTTGTCACTGCAGATGACTTCTTCAAATCAGGTTTAAACGTAGCTGGAAATACTTCAAATAATGTTGGATCTGCTGTAACAGCTGTGAATGTCAACAACTTACTAGGACTCAACACTCTGGGCATTTCTTTAGCTCGTATTGACTTTGCACCATATGGTCTCAACCCACCACACACGCACCCTAGAGGAACCGAGGTGCTTACCGTCCTTGAGGGCACACTCTATGTTGGTTTTGTCCTTTCAAACCCTGGTCCAAATATGAAGAACAAGCTCTTTACCAAGATTCTACATCCTGGAGATGTGTTCGTTTTTCCAATAGGTTTGATTCATTTTCAGTTTAACGTGGGAAAAACTAAGGCCGTTGCATTTGCTGGACTTAGTAGTCAAAATCCAGGAGTCATCACTATTGCAAATGCAGTATTTGGCTCTGACCCACCCATCAATAATGATGTTCTCGCCAAAGCATTCCAAGTTGATAAGAAAGTTGTGAATTATCTCCAGTCACAATTCTGGTGGGATAACAACTAAATTAGTATAAGCCAGATTATGGTGCTATAATTATTAATTTGTGTGTTCTTTATCTTGTAATCGTTAACAAACTTCAAGATTATCCAGTCATGTTGACTGGTTTTACTTGAACTTTGTATTATTAGATATACTAAGCGAGATATATATGTTATTCTTGTGTTATAATAAAATGGCGTTTATTGTTTGTTGTTATAAAAAAAGACATTTTGGGGTTCAAAATCTTGGTGAGTAGTTTGTTTTTCATATTTAGTCCAATGTTAGAAAGGACAAAACCAACACACTATGATAAATAATAGATTTTGTGGCAATAATATAATTTTTTTTTTCAAGAATGTTATATTTGACTTTTTAATACGAGTTAAAGAAATGCCAAACATATTATGTTGTTGATGTTCATGAAAAGTAGTATTGATGATTCAAATTCATAATTTCACGTATTCCCTAGCTTATTTATGCCTTATCTAAAGAAGTCATCAACATTTTCAAGTTTAGGATTCTTGCAAGATTTTCCATTAATGAAAATTGTTTCCGTTATGAGTACTCCCTCCGTTTCAAATTGTATCTGTTATGATTCTCTTTACACACCTTAAGAAAGGAGTACTAATTAGGAGGATTTTTTTTATGGAAAAATTATTTTATGATTTATTGATATTTGAATAATCATAACATCACCTTGTGATTGTGATATTTGTAGTATTAAAAAATAATCACTACTATGGGTGAAATAGGGAGAAAATAGCTAATTTTATTCAATACGATAAATAATTTGAGATAATTATTTTTAGAAATCACGATAGATAATCTAAGACAAAGAAACAACAATTAAGCATTATTTACCAGTCACTTTAGGGTCGGATGCAGTGCTAGCTGGTTGAAGTCTTGAAGATGCCAAAGCCATTTTTATATGGTTGGACTTCCATATAAAACTAACAAAACAAAACTAATAATACGTATATATATAGTTCATTCATATATTCTCCCAATACATTTTCATAATAATAATAGTAAACACAAATTCATGGAGAACGTACTTAAAATAGCACGTACGTTCTCCTTTATCTAAATACATATATTTATAGTAGAGTACTCTAAGTTTCTTGAAGACCCCATAAGTTTTCGTTCGTCTGTCCCCAACCTAAGCGGCGGATGGGGCTGTATGACAGCCCCGGCCACCGCGAGGGGCTTTAGAAAGCATTGGCATGAACTTGTTATCAGTATTAATATTGTTGTTGTAATCAAGTGATTCATCATTATATATCTCCGTCCAATTTTTGACTAGCATCTTTATATCTTGTCTATCCATGTTCTCTTCCTCTCCTGTGTATCTCCACGGTTTGGATCCGGCTGCACAGTAATGAACAACTTTCACCTTATCAATCTCTACAATATTCTCAGGATGACGCCACAACATAGCCAAAACTAAGTTGTACTTGTTTGGAATTGGCTTGTAAATGTCCTTGAAGAACATGTTCAATAAATCCTGTACACAATAATTTCATCATATATATATAAGTGTTATTTAGACTTACTACAAGAAAAAAAAATTAAAAAAATTAATTATTACCTGTTCAGCAAAAGAGGTAGGAGGGGGTTACTTGGAGGAAACTCAAAAGGTCATCGTAAGTAAGGAGACTTGGCTCAAATACAAACATGCCTGCATTGAAATAAAGATTTGGTTTTGGTCCTAAATCTTGTTCAGGCCACTGAACTTTTTCTGGAGACTGTTGGCAATATCCAATATTGTATTGTGGGGTATGGCTCCAAGTTTTCTCACAGAAACAGTCCATCACGGCGTAGAAATAGCCATTTGGTAAGTCAAATAAATGGTCTATGTTCTTAAAAACTTGGATATCTCCATCTAAGTATATCATCTTGCTATACTCCACAAACTGCATTTAATCATCACAAAAAACTAATTAGCACTAATTTAATCTCTTTTTTAATAAGGTCACAAAAAGCATACGTGTAGTAATGAAATTTGTACACCATCAATGTATGTTACATTTGACGTACAAATTTTGTATTTGGTCCAAAGGTGGATTCAGAATTTTCATTATTGGGTTGAAAAATAAAAATATAGTGCTCAAGATTTAGTGGGAGTTTGACCTTGTTTCGTTTTGAAATTTGAAAAAGAGTTATTTTTCTTTTCAAGGTGAAAAACGATATTTGAATTCAATTATGTTTGGGATTAAATATAAATTGGAGTTGTTTTTTTTACTTTTCGTGAGTAATTTGGAGTGAAAAGGTGAAAACACTTTTTTGTTGTTTTTCATATTCTTCAAAATAAGTTGAATTCCAAAATTTTATGGTCAAACGTGTTTTTCAGAGTTCAACTCCAAAAAAAAGTAAATAAAAATCAAGGCTAAAAGCCTAAACTTGAAACCTCAAGATAAACCTTCAATCATTGAGTGAATCTCTAATCTTATATTTAGGGGATTCAAAATATAACTATATACTAGCTTCGATGTATATAACTTGATTTAAAAGATTGCGACTGAACGTATACACATTTAGTGCACAAAATTAAAATTTAAATTCAAACCTAAAAGCTAGCTTATACGTACCTCCCATATGCGGAGTTTTGAGTAGTTGATGACATAGTAAGCCATAGCAAACTGAGTCTGATTTTCCGGAGGATAAACCGGTTCGATCTCCCGGACTATACAACCCTGATTGATCAATATGTGGCGGTGTTCCTCTGGGACGTCAGGCAACACCGCCACCACTAGAGGGTATGCAGATTTTACCTTTCTCAACCCTTTAGCTAAACCAACAACACCTTTTACGTAGTCACCGTTACCTGCCAAAAATGTCACATAGGCATGGCTAAACAAACTTGCTGCCTTAGCCAAACCATTGTTTGCAACACCAAATACATTTGGATTCATTTTCAACTTGTTTTGAAAAAATATATTAAAGTTCTTTGTGAGTTTAGAAGAGAATTGTTTTTTGTGTTTTGTATGTTGGTGAGTTTTTTTTTTTTATGTGTATAGAGTATGGTGCCTTGAGTACCTTTATATAGGCATTAGGCAAGATGATAAAAATACTCCCTGAGTCTACTTTTATTGTCATGTTGTGTTTTTTGAAAGTTAATTTGACTAATTTTCAAAGTTAAATTAGATTATATTAATTCGATATTTCAAACAAAATATTTAGATATTCAAAAACTAAAAAAGATTAGTAATTTTTTTTATTTTTTTTAAAATTGCATGGGAAATGAAATTCAGCTGTGGGCAAGAGCGTACGACGTCGTGTCAATGCGTTTGACTTCGTCGGTTACTTTTTATATCCAAGAGAGAAAATTATGGATAAAATTGGCGGTGCAGGTGAGGGCAAAGTATTATACTTATTATATAGAAGGTTTATTATCTAGTCGGTCTATTAAATTTGTTAGAATATTTTATTTATATATTTAAATTAAGTTGTGTATTAATTAAATATCTCAATTCTTAATAACGTTGATTTGAATTTTGATAAACTTTTAGATGTATTTGTATTTATTTAGTAGACAGTTAAGCCAATCACGTTAAAATATGTTATCTCTTTTAATTACGGGCACCAATCTAAAGTAAAAAAAAATTGATGGAGTTTTATGATTTATATGGGCGAATACATATAATTAAAGAAGATGACATATTTTATATGATTAACTTAACTATATTATAACCAACAAATTAATGAAAATACACACAAAGAAAAGCTCAAAATTTAAATCGAAAGAGTCTAATTAGAGCACTTTATTAGTAAAAGTTAAGATGTTCAATTAAAATAAAATTTAGTGTAAATATGTAAATAAATTATCCAAACAAAGTTTGAGGTATTATGCCTAAATTGAATAACTTATGCTAAATCTTTGATAATCTTTCTTAATTACTACAGTTAACCAAACTTGTAAACACTAGAGTAATCAATTTTTTGGTCCACCCAACATTATCTCATTCTTAAAGGGGAAAATTATCAAAACAACAATATTTTAATGTAAAAGATTAGCTACTTCTTTTGAATTTAATACTTTTAAAGAAAATGCATGTCAGGCTACTTATGAAGAAGTCATTATTAAGTGTTTAGAGTCCGATAGATTAATTAAATTGATCAAAAATCACTTTCGTGAGAGCAACACAAGTGTAGTATAATTAGACAAAACAAGTCGTATGTTTTATTGTATCCCAAACAAACTTAAGTAATTGAAAATATTAGGGAAAATATATAAAAATACCCCTGAACTTGGCAGCAAAATTTACTTTAATACTTTAACTTAACGGGTAATTATTTACCCCCCTAATCTTATTACAAGTGAATTTAATATCACCCGGATGGCTGACGTGGCAAATTTCAAAAACGTCAGCGTGTAAATAAAGAAAGAAAAAATAAATGGGGCCCTTTTTTCCCCTGTCCTGCCAATACAATTTTTTCCCATTTCTTCTTCTTCTTCTTCCTTGCACCCATCACCCCAAACCCAACTCATTTCTTTTCTTTTTAATTATTTCTTCTTCCTCACAACCTGCACACCCTCTCCTTTCATTCCTCTATGCATCCTTTATCTCCGATTTTCTCCTTCTTCTAAGTAGTTTATATTTATAATAAGAAAATTTCAAATCAAAATAGCAAATTTTTAAAAAATTTCAACTATGATTTGATTAATAAAGAATTAACAAAGTGTCAGAACCTTAAAAAATAATTAATCATCTAACTTTAAACATTACTTATTGTATACCTGGATATGTATTAGGAAGTTAAACAAGAAAATTAACAATAAATTTAAAAAGTTAAGCACACTGATTTTGCACAAATCTGAAAGCATCATTGTTGATGTAAGTTGAAGCTTCACTTAGTTGAAAAAAGAGATTAATGAAAGTAATAATAAATCATTACAAAGTAATGAAAATAGAATGAATCGGTCCGAATTTTAGAAGTTAAGAAATTGACCCAAATGAAATAATGAAGATGATGGGTGAATAGTGAAATTTTTTTTATAAAAAAATGTAGGGAAATAAAAATAAAGAAAAAGTATTTTTTTTTCAATTATCCGACGTGTCATCGATGTGGCATAGAGGTGGAGCTTAAGTGGCGCGCGTGCATTTCACCCATAAGTATGAAACTGGTATTGTATGTGTAAGGTGCTATTAAATTTACTTGAAATAAGTTTAGGGGGGTAAATAATTACCCGTAAAGTTAAGGTGCTAAAATGAGTTTTGCTGCCAAGTTCGAGGGAGTTTTTATGTATTTTCCCAAAATATTATTAACTTAGGTTCTGGCTCAAATAATATGATACCAGAAATTAAGATTATTATAATATCCTCTCATATGTAATGTAATGGAAATAAATTACGCTATGTAATTAAATTGATCAAAATCACTTTTTGATTCCTTTATTTGTGAATATTCACAAGTTTAAACCTTGATTATCAATAATTACGTTCAATCACTGTTATATTATATTTGATAATAATATAGTTCAACAAAAAAGTTCAAAATATATCATTTTCCTGTACAAAATGACCAATATAATACTCGTTTCAATTATTGAGTCTCTTAACACGTGCATTACACGTGATTGTCGAGTCATATATAAGATAATCTCACATCACTTGATATTGGAGCATACACTTATTTTAAGTAATATTCATAATATTTTAAAAAATAACTAACTTAAACATTATACACAAATGAAAAAAATAAGGAATTTTTGAATGATCAATGTTAACAATTAAAAATTCAATTTGTCGCGTACTCCTTAAACATAAGAAATATTAATGTAATTTAATTCGAATAATGGACCTTTAATTTTACATTGAAAGGGGACAATTTATTTACATGTCATTTATTCTGTGATGTCACACAATTCATGTTTCCTTTTAAAAATATCTAAAATTGACTAAAAAGGTAAAATGAAGGATCGAAATTATGAAAATACCAAAAAACAAATAAATTATTTTAGCTTGCAATGATAATAAATAGAAAAAAACATTTACTCACGGATGTTAATACAAAAATTATTTTCTCATAAATGGAGGTATTTGACTAATGTAATCATTGTTGATCAAATACCACCGGGTGATGACTAATATTTACTATCGCCGACCAAACATCACCTGAGTGATAATTAACATAACTATCGCCGACGAAACGCCACCTAGTGATAAATTAACATAATTATCACCGATCAAATATCACCTGATGATAACTAACATAACTATCGCCGACCAAACATCATTTGTAATGCAATATTTGAAATTTGACTAATGTAATCGTCACCGATCAAATGCCCTACTTCAAAATGCAATATTTGAATATTTGACTAACGCAATTGTTACTGACCTAACATATTTGGTGATGCAACATTTGAGATGAAGTCCTCAAAAATTTAGCTAGCCACGTGTCTCGAAATTTCTGGATGACGACCTCAATTTTTGTTGTTAGAATTTAAACTATATAAAGTTTTTAAAAAACACTTAATAGTAATATTTTTTGATCCCTTAATTTTAGAAAAGATATAGTTATAATTTTGTAATATTTAACTAAGTATATGACCTTTAATTAAATGAAAAATGTATTTTGATCTCTTTATTTGTGAATATTCACATATTTAGCATGATTATTAATGACTTGATCGCTTAATTACTCTTTAATTATGTTAAGCTTGTACTCATATTAGTCCATATCTGATAATAATATAGTTCAAAGTATATCATTTTGATACTAGAAAAAAAATAAAAATATTCATTTCAATTAGTTAGTCCGTCGACACATGCGTTGCACGAGATTGTAAGATGATCATAGATATATTGATATTAGGGTGAATACTTATTTTTAGTAATATGATATTATAATATTAAAATAATTATCTTAAAAATCACGCAAAAATAAAATAATAATCAATTTTCTGAATAATCAATAATGTTGACAATTTAAAATTTTGTCACGTGCTTAAATAAACATAAAAATATTAATGTAATTTACTTTGAGTCAAGAATCTTTTTACATCGAAGGAAACAACTCATATACACTTATTTCCAAGTTTTCTTTTAGAAATATCTAAAATCAACTAAAGAGATAAAATGAAGGATCAAATTTAAAAATACAAATTCTACTTATTTTTAGCTTACTATAATAAATATACAAAAAATTATTTACTCACCATAAAAGTATTTGACTAACATAATTGTGAGTTTGTCACCCACCAAATATCACTTGGTGATGCAATATTTGGGATTTTGAGTATCGATTAATATAATCGTGTTTAACCTAACATTACTTAGTGATGTAATATTTGAATGTTTGACTAAAACGTTGTTTAGTAATAAAATATTTGAAGCAAAATTATTAAAGTTATTTATAAATAAAATCTTTTAATAATATAAAATTAAAAAAAAACAAAAGTAAATAGATTATCTATATATTATAATACTAGCACAGGTTCTAAACCTAAAATTTACTCTAATAATAATTCCTTGCACTAATTATATAACTTAGCCTCGTCAAATAACAATTGTTATTTTTTAATCTATTTCTCCAAATTTTTCGGTTAAGTTAGTTGGTCTTAACCGTTGAAAAAACCTCAAACTGACCAAAAACATTATCCTCTAAAGTGATGACTTATAGAATTAGATCCCTGGCCTTTTTCGCCTATGATTCCCACAATCGAGGAGAATGATTTTTTTTGTTTATTTTTTCCCGAGAGTAAGTAATTTAAATTTGATTGAAAATTTACGCATGAAATTTTTTTGAAATAAAATTTATACGTAAAAATTATTACAAGTCTCAATAATTGACAATTCAAAATATTTAAAAGAAATATGAAAAATTTACGATAAAAAATAGATTGAATTGAATTTCAAAATTCGAAATGTGTCACATAAATTTAGACAGAAGAAATATATTTTATTTTTTTACCTTAATTATTCG